GGAGTAAGTTACTTAAACTCTGTCATCCTCCATTTCCTTATTGTCTTTGTGTAGTATAATCTAAAAAAGGGCTAGAAATAGAGTCAGAAGTAACTTTCCTTCCAATCCCTCCTTCCAATCCCAACCAGCTTGTTGTATGACCCTGGTTAAATCATTTATACTTTTGTGCCTCAGTCTCCACATTTGTAAAATGGGGCTAAAGATGGTTAATTCTATATCTCAGGCTTGTTCTATAGATCAAATATGATAAGTATGTAAAGGGACATATGAACTTGAAAAATGATATGTGAAATTTACTTATTCTATATGTAAAAACGAAAATAATTCTACTCATGCTACCTACCTCACAAAGCAACTGTGAGGAAAGTGTTTTGGAAAAGCCTTTAAAGTGAAACATGTAAGGTGTTAAAATTTTCTACTAGCCAGGAAGATTTTTATGGGCAGGAAGTTTATCTTATCATAACATTTGTTTATTGTGTTTGTTTTTTTATCTTTATTTCCCTGGCCTAACACAGAGCTCTGCATCCAGGATTTCCATTAATGAGATCTTTTGTCTCACTAATGCAAATTCTCCACCTCTACAACACTACAGATGATAATCCCTCGAAGCCTGTAAAACTCTTGACCATGTGTTTTATAGATATCCTTCCCATGCTCCCACCTAACATGCTGTGAACTAGATCAAGATCTCCTGACAGTGCATGAATATCAATGCTACCCAGGAACTTTTTACCTCACTACAGGGTAGTTAGGTGGCGCAGTAGCTAGAGCACGAGATGTGGAGTCAGGAAGACCTGAGTTCACATCTGATTTCAGACACTTAACTAGTTGTGTGACCCTAGCCAAGTCGTTAACTGCATTTCCTTCAGTTTCCTCATCTGCAAAATGAGCTGGAGAAGGAAATGGCAAACCACTCCAGTATCTCCTCCAGGAAAACCCCAAATGGGGTCACAAAAAGCAGGACATGACTGAACAACAACAAGGCAAGGTGTAACCCTTGATAATTCACTAAAATTCCCAGTACTGTAGGCAACTCTTAGACTATAAGTTTCAGAAAATGTGCTGACCTGAATTCACAGAGGAAGTTCCTTCACCTGGGAGTTCCCTATACCAAGGATATCACAGGTCCAGGCCAAGTCCCTGTCTCTGTCTGCTTATCTAAGGATAACCATGATCAACAAAGTAACACAAGCAGAGACAATATCCCAAAACAGAACATCTCTAATTTCAGATATTCATACATGGAAATTTCACCATATTACTTGGAGCATCACACTGTGAGAGTATTTTTTAGGTTAGACTACCTTGGTTCTTCTGAAAATAAAATAACAAAAAAACTATCCAAGTTAGGTTTGACTTTTACACAGTTACAATACCTTAAGAAATCATTTTCTATATCAAAAGTATGAGAGTCTGCATTTTTAATTAGTCTTTTCACTATCAATTGCATAGGTAGAGAAATAACCTGTCCACTGGGACAGAATAATACTTATTCAAAAGAATTTGTTACATTGTGATATGACACTACTAATCACATTGGACAGTATGGTACAGTAGAAAGGATGCTGGATTAAGTACTGGAGGACCTGAGTTCAAGTCAATCTTGCCACTTTGAACATATATTACCCTGGGTAAGTCACTTGATTGGGCCTCAATTTCCTCATGAGGAAAATGAGTGGCATGGGGTTGCATTAACCCTTAATATATGATCAATGATCCTAATAATTCTTGGTTAAATTAAATTCTAACTTTTGACATAAGTATACAGGTAGGAACTAAGAATACAAAGCTAAAGTGGACCTTTAGAAGTCTACTCTCAGTTTTAAAGATAAGAAAACAGAAGCTCAGAAAGGTGAAGCGATTTGCCCAAGATAATACAAATGCTAACTGCAGAGTTAGAATTCAAAACCTCTTCTGATTCCAAATCCAGTGCTCTTCCCCTTATGTCATTTTGCCTCTCCTAAATGATAGGAATTATGATCATTAAAAAAAAAAAGATTAAGGAATTGGGTCTATAAAGTGAGTGGATTAAAGAAACACATAAATGACCCTTCTAACATTATAGAAGGTGTCAGTGTGACAGATAGTTGTTTGCCTTTGGCCGTGCCAATATACTTTGATGCCTCTGCGATTTATCAGGGTGCCCTGTATAGATGAAGACGCAACACCTCAGTCTCAATGTAGGGTTTTTTCCTTCTAATAGGTTACCCCAAAAAGAAAGATAAGAGTTGAATTGCTGATCAGTGACTTCCTAGTTGTCATACTTCCTGACATCCTCCAAAATAGAGAAGGCCAGTCAGTATCACAGTCTGCAGGGACAGCAATCAAAAGATGAGTGCCTTGCTCAATCTGACTTTAAGCTGCTAACAGCCTTCATTTGATTAGGGGCTCACTCCCATCCTCTCTCAAACCCACTAGTTTCCCTCAATATCAGACTGGAGTTTGTTTTCAAACTCTTAACAGGATCACTGAAAGAAAACAGGCGAAATACTATAAAGAAGGCTCTGGACTCTTTCCAGAGCAGAGTATTTTCTTAGGAATGACTCTGGAATTGGGCCAAAGAGGAAAGCGTTTTTTGCAAATGAACACAGGGCCACACTCAAGTACAAGTTATCATTTAATTTCTTTGTCAACAGCACCAAGGTTAAAAATTAAGAAAGCTACTTATTTTAATTGTCATTATCAAATGATATTTTTTTAAATTGCTCTTTAATCAAGCATTTTGTCTCTTTTGATTTGTAATATGTTTAAGTGGTTTTTGTTTTATTTGATGAACATGACCATTAATACTTAACTGACTTATTCTGAAGCAGAATTTAGACGATAATAAAGTAATAACTTTATTTGTTGTTGTTGTTTTTCTTAAGCTCCTGAGTCTATTCTGTGTTGACAGTGATTTTAATAGACTAATCGACTTTCAATATTCTGAACTTGAAGATGATTAAATGTGAGCAATTTTCATATTGTCACATTTAATGAGATGAAATTTTCAGTCGGATAAAATGTTATTGGACTATCCCTCCCCATACAAGTTATTTCTCAATAATTCAAGAAGTCTTTACTCACTTTCGTTTCTATTCCTTCACAAATCATTAGCACAAATTCTATTAAAAAAACTAACCTTCAGTTGTGTAGTATTCCCAAATTTCTTATTTCCCTAAGCTAGAGAATATGATTTATTTGGGAAACAGTGACATTGTGTGTTTGCTAATGCATGTTTATTTTATCTCTTACTCTTTTGCCTGTTCTATATAGGAAACACGTTTCACACTTTGCTTTCAGTAACAGTCCTGCACTCTTTCAAGTCCATTCTGAAATCTTCCCCTTCTGCAAAGACTGATAGCTACCGTTGGATCCTCTTTGAGCTGCAAGGCACTAAGTTGAAAAACGTGTACAAATGGCTAGAGAACATTTTGGTTCATTTAACTGATAAAATTACTAAGAATTTTCCCTATATGTACCACACAGGAAAGCACTGTTATTACCCAACAAATCCTGATCAGTTTTTAGTTTTCTTCTGTACGTGGGATCTACAAAAGCTTTCTGCCAAATCTAAAGCCTTGCTAAGGTAAAGAAGAGAGAAAAGTAGGTAAACAGATTTGACCCTTGACAGGACCTTCAAAGAAACTTCTAAAACTGCAAGGAAATAAATTGGTCCTTTCACTCCCAAGTGTATTTCCATCTGAAGAAAATACTAAGTAAAAACGTTGAAAATTGGAAATGATGGGTCAGATATAAAATCGTTATTTGGTTAAGATGTAATCCTTCTGAAACGCTCAATATATCTGCCAGATTTTTTTCTAGCTCTGTGTATTGTATGTATAAATTATATGCATATGTATATTCATATATGTATGCATATTTTTTTGCTTTGGCAGAATGTCATATGGTCAGGGAAAAGTAGGTTGGGAAAGGCCAGGAACACATAACTGGAGGAACATGAGAATGTCCTGGAAACGTAAGGAAGCAGCAAAACATAATGAAAGATATTTTCTAGTATTCTCTGTTTCAGGTATTGTTAGTATAATCAACTAAATAGTAAACATGAGTGGTGAGGAGGCTTCATGCTGAATGAAAAGAAACTGAGGCACTGACCACTAAATATCCAGCTAATACTTCAAGTATCATAAAAACTGTTAATTATTACTTAAAAGGTCATTCTATTTCATAATTTACAATTTTAAATAAAATTATTAAAAATGTGATTATACTATTTCAGTGGATACTACATAAACTTGATAGCTCTCCATTTTAAAGATTCAATTGAAATTGTTTTATGTTAAAAATGACTATAAAATTAGCACCTCTCTTGAGGAGAGGCACAGGTGTAAATGAGATGATGAAGAGTTTATACAGTAGCAAGTAGGCAAGAAATTGAAATATTTCTGGTCTCATAATAAAATTGCTAAAAGTTCACTATTACCACATATCCTTGGACTTTTTGTCACATATTCATATTAATGATAGGAATGAAAGTTGAGCCATTCAATAAAAGCTTTAAATAGCTATAACTAGCATGTGTTATATGAGCTATGATGATAGAACTCAAGACTTGAAGACACACATAAATGAAAGGTTCCAACTATGTCAATCAATGCGTTTAATACCCTGGCATCTAACCCCTTACTCATCCCTTACTACAAAGTGCAAAAAATTCCTTCCCAACTTAGTTTTGCCCTTACTGCCTGAAAATTGTTTTGCATTCTTTTATTTCAAACTTTCAATCATTCAACTTTCAAGTCCAACATCAGGCAAATTCTACTTGGACACAATATCTATGTCTGCAATATTTATTGCAGCCCTTTGTATGCAGACCATCATGTACAATGATTATTTGGATCAATAGTAATTTTGCTTAGGAGAAAGGTCTATGGAATCAGATTCCTTAAAGTAAAGAGGCACCAACATGCTCAAACCCTTAGAATAGCTTAACAACTCTATTTGATACAAGGGGTTAAAAACTGCAAAGAAGAAAGAAAAAAAAAGATCCATCTACTCACGTTCACAAGTGTCCCCTTTCTGCTGGTAACCGGCTTTGCAGATACACTTTCCAATAGGCACTAACCATTCTCCTTCTGCACTGCAGTGCATCCTAGGAGAGTTTTCTGCCTCCTCTTCTGCACTGCTGACACATGTCCCTCGGACCTCCACTAGGGAGGAAAACTCTGAACCGGTTACTGTATCTGGAAAAATAGCTAAGTTCTCAATAATGGACCAGCATTTCTTGTAGTATACCTTGACAGAAACCAAAGCAATGCAAGCCCCAACATCCTGAAAGGCCAGATAGAATCCCTTTCTTGACAAAGGTCCAATCTCTCTCACCTCTGTGTTAAGTTTCATTTTTCTCTCCCCAAGGTCACCCTGGGTAAAACTTTCATCTGCAGCAATAGTGTCTATTTTTACATATAAGTTTTCCCTTATATTCCTGCCAGTGTCGTAGTCTGTTTCATAATAGTACAAATTAAAGGTTTCTTTGCATGTTCCCAGCACTCCAGGAAGACTGTTACAATCCCTCAGGGTGAATTTCAGCTCTACAAAAATTCTTTGTGCATTGCCTTTTGCAATCCAGTTAGTCCGGAGCCAGTTGTTTTGATTAGGTTCCATGACCTGGCATACCTGGTATGTTCGTATAGGTGTGTAGTTTTCATCCAATCCACTAATTTCTTCCCACTGTAAAATTAACAAAAAAGAAATCAGGTATACTGAAAAAGAAAATAGCATGTTTTATGTAGGGGTGCTTACACATCTTTAATGCAGGATTGCAATATGGATTTTTGGAAGGGATGTGGTAGCTCCCCTCTCCCTTAAAACAAAACAGTGCAATTCATGTTTTAATCTGTGCTTACACTACCACAACAGAAGAATTTATATTATTGTTTCTACAAGATATAAATAGCGTGTGTGTTTTGTATTAATATCTCTATTTTGGTAATGCAAAAATGTAAAAAGAAATAAAATAAAGACATGCAGACATGCCTTTGTTCTCTGTTTTCATCTGCAAACTCTCATAAAAGAGATTTTGATCTATTAAAATAACCTGGAACACATACTAATATATCATTAAACTCAGGTATGCTTAAAAAAAGTTTTGGATGGTTCTTTTAACACATTATGTGTCCATGTATTCTCTAAACTACCTCTCAAAAATGGAAAGAAAAGTTAAGAATATTTTGGCATGTATGTATATTTTGTGTCTCATTTGGCACATCTGGAGCATAACATTTTATGCTCTTTGGAATAAAGTATTAGTAGGTTGCAACACATAAAGGACTACTCATTCATCACCACATTATGCATAAAATTGCAGATAAAGCCCATGTGACCATAAATATAGTTGACTTGGAAGTAAATATTTGGTGATTCACCTTTTATAAATGACTAATCCTCAAAAGATAATCAAAAGTACGTGGCATACCAATGAGACCCAATCATGCTCAGCAAGATGCTTTGAAAAGGAAAAAATGGAAAAATTAGCCATTTTTCTACTACAATGAAGAACATAAATCCACGTATGTGTGTAGGTGTTTTTGTAATATACGTCTGTTATATATGTGATATATTAAATATAAATGTGCATATGTGTTTTTGTATGTTACTAAACAGAAAAACTTCAACTCATAAAATCTCAAAGTTTTTGAAGGTTACTGATTATGGAATGCTATGTGTGCTGCACATTTATTACATGTTTATATAACACCAACTATATAGTAACTTATATAGTAAAAAGCCAATAAACATAGTTAAGCCATGAATAATATTAATTACAATTCTGTCAATGCATCATAGAGGTAAACTTGGATGATACTTTAGAGGTCATAAAATCCAGCTCCTTCATTTTGTAAAGGAGGAAATCAAAGTCCAAAGAAGTGAGTAACTTGCCCAAACTCACATCAATTATGAGCATTACTACTATCAAAATTTTGGTAATGTTATAAATATTAAGAAGCATTGATGTCAAAAAAATTGAAGAACTGCACTTCATATAATTTTTATACCAACACATATGAGAGAGTGTGTAGAGGCTGAGCCAGGATTCCAACGCATGTCCTCTAACTCTGTTTCCATAATTCTTTTCATGGTACCATGCTGTCCTCTCAAACCAGTGTTAAAAAGAAGTTTCACTCCACTGTTTTTAAAATCATCATCATCAACCAATGAGATGGTCACCCTGTCTCTGAAACTTTACTTCCCTGGTAATCTTAATCAAGGTGAATATCAAGATTGGTTTCAGATATAATTGCACACTCCTGTATGACAATAACCTAGACTATGCCTACATTACTTTTCCAATGTAAGAAAATTAGATGTTGGACATTATTACTATCAAACTTTTAGTAGTGTTGTGGACATTGCTGTTGAAAATATTTTTAAAAGTCACACTTCCTACAATTTTAATACCATCACTACTGAGAGAGATATATACTACTTGAAGTTAATGGAGCTTCCAAAGTGACTACATATTCAAGTTCAAGTACTCTTTATAAAATTGAAATATATTATATTTGCTATGATTTTATTATACTTGCCTAAATAGTTTTAAAATGTCCTCAGCTGCAGCAAGGTTCACATTTCTCATCTCCAGCCCTACTTTTCAATGTAATCTAAACTTGCAATTAGCTAAAAGTGTGCCTATTCCTGCCTTGATTCAGATAGTTGTTTATCATCTGTTTGGAAGGCACATGTACCCAAATGTACCCAAAGTCAGCCACTTGCAGGTGCAGATTTTGGTCTATTAACTAAATGAAACTGAAAAGAGAGAGAGAGAGAGAGAGAGAGAGAGAGAGAGAGAGAGAGAGAGAGAGAGAGACCTACTTAAAATGTAAATAAAAACTGTATCTTTAAAGGACAAGGATTCCCACCACCATTGTTTCCTGGGGGTAAAAGAATCCAGGGTGGACTAACACTCCTAAAAAGTCAATGTCACATCTTGTCAATTTGGTGGTTTATTTTCCTTAGCTTCATTTAAAGTTAAATCATTTTTTTCCCTCTTTTTCTATGAAAGCCCAATTTTTACATCAATGAAGATATTACTGTTAATTTTAATGTCAAAATTATCCATTCCTTAAGAGTTTACTTCCTAAGTATCCTGATTATGGATCCATAGGTCTTTGTAAATAAATGAAGGTCATGAAAATAAAGTTGTATAGCATTATGTACTACGTCGAATGCATTTCATGTTCTTAAAACTCTCTTTTTCAGACCCTGGGGAGAATTGTTTTAGTTTTGTTGTATGCATCCGTTGATTTTATAAATTCTGTTCACAAAATAATTTTATTAAGATTTTGAGGAGCACCTTGGTCACTGAAAAACTGAAATTTTATCTCTGGTTAATTGAACCATTTCACTTTACCTGAACTGAATATCTTTAATTCTCTTTTACTAATATTATCAGTGGCATTCCAAAAGCAAAACAAAGAGTTAAAAGTTAACTTAGATATTTTGGGTTGATAAGATGGCCATTAGAGCCCAAGATAACACTGACAGTCATAATTTATCATTGTGTGGATTACATAGATGATATACTGCAATCATATATCAGTTTCCTTCTATCAGAGACAAAAATCCTTCTCTATCTCTATTTGTTTTAATTGATGGATGGTAGGAAATGGGTTGCATCTGTCATTGGAAAGAAAGGTGTTTCATTTTTAATTTAAATGTCTTCTTACAATATATGTTATTTTACTTATGGAAGGACACTTCAATTTCAAGGAAGCACTGGATTTACATTTACAATGACCCAATTCTTATTTTGCTTTTGTTCTTCTATCCTTAAAATGCTTTGACGTCAATGCAAAAAGTTAGTACTTCGAAGGTAGACAACTACCATCTTCTAACTAATCCCTCAAACAATTTTATTTAAGCAAACGTGTTAATATTTTAAACAGTCTCATTATGCGTGTTTTAACGTCTTAAATTGACTTCCAGTTCATGCAGTATTGATTTTATGATGTTACTTTTAAACTCAAAGACACTTTTAGACTTTGCTTCTTCTCCTTTGCTGGATTTGTTACACTTTTTATATCCTCACTCATACTTCACGCTCTTCTGGCTCCAGATTTCTTACTGTGCCAAAGATTAACTTAGAAACAATGGGGTATATTCTCTTCCCTCAGAACCTTCTTCCTCAAGGAATAAAGAATGTGCCCTCTCTCACAATTAAAGTAAGAACCAAAGACATGGCTATTTAAATAACTTTAAATAGGTAGTATATCTTTCTGGATATGTGAAACCTAATATGGTCTGCATCTTTATAGGGCTGTTTTACATTTAAGTATCTTTTCTAAACCTTTGCTGGACATACCTAATGGAGAAGGCACTTACTATATAATAGTCACATGTTTATTCCATGGGACAAATGAGAAAAAATTTTTTATAACTAATAACACCAGATGTGACATTATAAGAATTTGGGAAATTCCAAATGACATGCTCCATCAAAAATCATGTGCCAAATATTCAGCAAGTTCAGATTTTCTAAAGTTACTTTTACAAATAATTTTGAGTGATGTCAAAAATGTTTCTGAAAAGAAGAAAGTAGATCTCATACTGTTTTAAAGAACTATACACACCCTACCTGGTGATTATACTGCAGAAGGATAAAGCAACTAAAGAGGTTTAAGTGAGTTTGTGTAGGGAATGTTCCCTGTAATTAATTGGCATTTGTAGTCTGTAACCTGAGGTATGATTCTTCTTGCAGTAGAAACTCAACAGTCCATAGTTATAGGGAACTTGTCTGTTCCCACCATGAAGCTTACTTTAACTATGCCCTGCCTCCCCCACACTCTCTCTTCCTCTTTCTACATGCCCCCCCCAAAAGAAAACTCAGCAAATTAAACTTCTACACTGGTCACAATTCCTGAGGGAAGCTTGGGGTACAACATATAATTTTAGGCATGTGAATAACTTCCTCAAGTGAAAAAGTGAGTTTTATTCCTTAGGTTTTTTATTTTAAGTTTTCAATACACACATACATTATAAGAAGGAACCCTTACCCCATTGGGAGGAAAGGAAATCCACTCCAGTTCTGTTTGTTGTGCTTTAGAGTCCAGCAGAAGTACTGAAAAAGAAAATGTCCCTTCTGAATGTTACATACATTATTTTTTAACGAGGTTTTTAAAAATTGTGTGGTTAAGGTGAGCAAGAAAACTTCACATAGGAATCATTTATGAACTAAGTTTATACACGTATGTGTGCCATACACAGGTACACAAAACAAGCATACATGTCCAAATGATCACTGTACAAAGCTGGCACAACTTTCTTTTGAAAAAAAAAATGTTCATATTGCACCCTGTGGGGAAACACAGCTTTAGGTTGGAGTGGTCTTTTCATATCAAAAAATGCAAATAATAAAATTAGCAGCAGTAGTAGCATGAACTGGTTTCCATTCTCTACATTTTATGGGCTTTAAAATTACATAGTTAACAATAGACTCATAAAATCTAGAGGCCTTAACATTTTATGAAACATATGATGCACTTAAATTCCATAAGATAATTTCAACATATCCCTCAATCCACTTGAATTAATTTGTCACTGTGTTCTGGAACAATTGTTTCATGGAGACTTTTCAGAAGCTGAGCTAAATTGACAAAATTGTTAAGTTAAAAAATAAAAATTAACTTCATTGTTTTTGAAAAAATAGTTGTACATATTTGAATGGCTTATAAGTTTTGCTAAAACAATGGTTCACAATGTTTTATTCGCGAAATTTCAAAATGCTAATCTCACTTGCCTTTTTTAATGGGATATTACCCAGTCATGAAAAACATCTACCTAATTACAATTTTGTGCTACTTTTTGACAACTGTGATTGTTGGCTAATTTTTAGTATCATTTATGTTATCAAAAATATTGGAACATATGTTAATCACAATTTTAATTCAAACATTTGTAAAAAGATACTTAAATGATAAATACATAGATAGATTACATAGATAATAGACAGACATAATAATACAGAAGGCTGCATAAGAAATATTAGCTATACCTAGACTTTAAGTTGGTTATTTACTGATTTTCTTTTTCCTTTTTTGAGACCTCCCCTCCCGATTATTTATTATTATAAAGTTTGGGTTTAAATGTGACTTTTCACTTTTTAAAAAAAAGTGTTCTTAGTAATAGGAAACCACTTTCTGAAACAAAACCAATTTTTCTTCAAGGAGCATTGAATGAACTTTCAATTGTCTTTTTCTAAAAAAAGAAAGGAAAACAAAGTTTAACATCTACTTCAGTAAAAATGTGTGATTTGAAAAAGCATTTTTCTCAGATTTTAATAGTAGAGTAATATGAACTTTTCTAACTGAGTTTAGTATTGCACTATTATTAGGTGATGCTAAAAGAAACATGTCAATTTTTGGAAAGCAAGTGAAACTTACACTGAGAAAGAGATAATTGGCTGTGTTTAACCCTTTCAAGAAAGCCAATCCTTCCTTGCATATCTAATAGCCATCCCTTCTAAGATACAATTAGCTACTTTGATACAGTAAATCTCTCATTTTCAGGGAGACCTGGAAAACAAGCACCTTGTGCATATCCACTTTGAATGTTTCCAGTGCTTCTAAGCAGAATTAGATGTTTATTTAAAACATATTTAGACATTTTTTTGATCAATTGGAAGCCGGGGATTGGTACTGTTTTTAACAACTCGGCTTTTTACAGTGGACTTTATTTTTATTCATTGCAATTCAAATCGAAGGCAGTAAAACAATGTAAGATTTCTAGATGTTCTGCCTCAGAGATAAAACTCTGTGTGTTGGGGAGAGGTGTTTTAACTAAGGCACAATAATTTAAATTCAAAATCACGTCACTCGTTCACTTTTCTTGAAGACTGCTAGGTAGCACTTTCCATCATTTTTAAGTCTTTCTGCTACACTTCAAAAACTGGAAGGGGGGGCGTGAAATTTAAAAAAAATCCATTTAAGCTTAAACACAGAAATTCGCTGGGGAGCTTAATTGGCAGTTCTAAAGTCATCAATTCATCTGCCCCTGCTGTTCCACTCCCAAGCTCAGTTCTTAGCGCCCGATTTCTCGGCCCACTCAGAACGTAGAGTAACCGGCCTCACCCCAAGCCACGCACAGAACCTGCCGCCCAGTCAGTTCGGAAGTGGGGGTGGGGAGCGCAAAGGAACTCGGAGCCCCGGGACTCACACTGCGCTCCGCTTGGGGAAGGCTGGGAGGTGTGCTCGGCGTGGGGCGCGGCAAGCACACACTCTGGAGACCTAGAGAGCGGGTTGGAATTGGAAAGCACACACCCTCTATCAAAGTCCGAAAAGAGCAGGCGCGGGAGGCAAGCTGCAATTGTCCCGCGGCATCCTTAGAGTTCCCGGGACTGTAAAGATACCGGGAACGGGGAAAGGGCTACTGGGGCGGGCAGTGGAGGCTGCTTGGGTATCAGAACTGTAGCCTGAACAGGGGCTTCTAGGTCGAAAGGACTGCCTCCCCTACAGTGGCAGAGAGGGAAGGGGAGGGTAGGGGGAGATCGAAGCCTGAGCTGGAGCGAGGTGGGGGTTATCGAAAGGAAGGAGGAAAGCTTTGGGGAAGTGTCTTCATTGAGTGAATGGCACAGGCGGAGTTTGCTGAGAAACAGCTGCATTTCGCCTCCAAGCGTCAGACTCGGAATTCATTCTCTCTCTCTCTCTCTCTCTCTCTCTCTCTCTCTCTCTCTCTCTCTCTCTCTCTCTCTCTCTCTCTCTCTCTCTCTCTCTCTCTCTCTCACACACACACACACACACACACACTCTCTCTCTCTCTCTCTCTCTCTCTCTCTCTCTCTCTCTCTCTCTCTCTTCAGGGTAAAGAGAAAATAACCCTTATCCCAGCCCCGCTGTCCCCTTGCCCTTAACTCCTCAGGGTGACCGAGTGGGAGGACCGGGCACCTGCGTAATAGGTTTTCCAACTCAGGCCCTTTTGGGAGGAAGGTGTTCAGGGACCGCCTCAGGCTCGATCATTTATTATTATTGCCTATTTATAGCCCGCACGGTGGGAATCTTCACACTTCAGGATCAAAGCTCTCCCTTCACAAGAATATCTCACCTTTTCCACCCCCTCAATCCCCCCCCAAAAAAAACCCTTTGCATTCTGGCTTGAAATAGCATTGGAATTTAAAATAAGAAACCTCTCCATGGATCTTGGGGTAGGGGGGAAAGATGAAGGGGAGCGGAACAAAACCACGATTTCTGGCTACAGGAACCTCTCCCCCTAGTGATACAGATATTTATAGCTTAAACTCCCGCTGGAAGTGTGTGTCTGCCTGTGCGCCTGAGTACCTTCTAGCCTTCTGTGCAAACTTTTCCTCCCCATCCCGTTATTTCAATACAAAGGGTATAAGTACAGCGAATCAATCTTTAAATGTTCATTTCAAGAGAACTTGTTTTCCTTTTTAATTGTGGTTTCTGTCTTAAACAGTTTTGCGCTTTTACAAACATATTGACTGCTTAGCTGAGGGTTAGGGTCCCTTTTGCTTAATGAATGTATCTTCAGCACAGGTTGCAGATTATTAAATTGAGATAGGGTTGGGGAGATCAGATGGATGGAGATGAAGGAATGGGAAAGAAGGTTGGGCAATCCTTGAAGAGAATGGAGAGAAAATAATCATTTAAGTTTTCATAGATTTAGTGAAATAATGTCAATTTCACCTTTACTGATTTCTCTGCAGTCTCTAGGAAGCAGGTTTTCTTTAGAGATACACATTGCCCCTTCTCACACTCACATACACACGCACAAATACCACCACCACCCCAAATCTGGTTTCCAGCTTCACTTTAAATGCATTTTGTAATCTCAGTAATATAAATGCTTTTACATCCTTTGAAGGTGAACTTTGGAAATTGCCCCCTGGAAAAGAATGAGATGTGATAGTGCTCAGAAGCAAAGCATTTTAATTGACAGTTTTTCCCCCCAGCTCCAACTACAGGCTCAGAAAGGTATTTTACTTCCTGTCAATGGTTCAAAAAAGGGGAAAAATATAACCACACACAGACGTAGCTGACTGGCTAAATGAGACCATCTCTTTGCATTGATAGAAACAGACATCTAGGCCCAGGTCACTTAGACTGGTTTGATTACTGACTGCTTCAACTCCAGAATTAGGTGGGGGCGGGGTAAGGGGAAGAATCTGGGCTGTTGATTTTTCATAGATCTTTTCAATTTAAAACTGTGCAAGCTCACTTAGAAACCCATCCATTCCACTTGGTATCATCTTTTAAAAAGGGGAGGGGATGACAATATACATTTTTTACCCAAGCGTTGGATCGGTAATGCTACCGTATGTGAATGGAGATGTACGTTTAGTGTGGCGTCTGAGCGTGCCGCCTCATCTCTCTATGCACTACTTCACCTTTTCAGTGTTATTGTTCCATCCCGGTTGCCGTGTGCCAACAGTAGGGGCCTGGGCAACAACCTGAACCGGCAGTGAAGACTTTATTAGGGGCCCGATCTTGATTATCTTACAGAAGTCTCCACAGTCCTCTGGGAAAGGACCGGACTCCAGGAACTCGGCAGCGGTTTGGCTAAAACACTAGGGGCTGCGCGCCCAAGTCCCCGACCAAACTCCGGCTGCAGCGTCCACTGTCGAACGACACACACACACACACACACACACACACACACACACACACACACACACGGATACCTTCTACCCTCCCCAGGTGCTAACAAAATAGCTTACTCGGAAAAGACTCCTTTCCGATCCTTCCCCTCAGATCGTACAAGCCAAAAAAAAAAAAAAAACCCGTCCCGATCTCTTCGGCTCAGCCCGTGGCGCAGGGATGGATGGAGGGCTCTCCGAGCGATCCCAATCGCCTCTCTCCAGCCGGGAGCGTTTACAGGGGTGGAAAGGGATTGGGAAGCGGGTGGAAAGGAGCATAGAATATTTGCTGTACGCAGCTCGTCTCCTAATCCTACCAATGAACCATTTCGCACTGAGGATACAGCTAAATAGACAGCTAAGTCAGAACAAACTTTGCTTTCCCTATCGCCTTACCTTCTTTTGCAGCCTGTGCCTCCCCCGTGTGTGCAAAGCGAAGCAGCCAGATGTAGCATAAAATAATCCAGGAAGGGTACCGAGTTTGAAAAACCATGGTGCATGAGCAGGTTTGAGGGTTTATCTTAATTATCTCAAAAGGGATCAGCTTTAAATGCGGTTTGTTCGGAAGTGGGTTTGGGTTCGCTTTTAGCATCAATTCTTCTTCGCAGTCCCAGGCCCGTTCCTCCGTATTAGGTTTTTCTTGGATTGGATTTTTTCTTCCCTTCTTTTCCTTTTTTTTCCCCCTTTCCCTCCCCCTTCAATTCCTTCGCACCGTATTTGCTGTCTGCAAGTCTCCGACTGCAGACCGGCCGCTCGCTCCACACTCCAATAATATCAATTAGGGGGAAAGGGGCGGGGATTCCAGGCCGAAGAGCAACCCATCAGTCTAAGAGACTGGCAGCAGGAGCCGGCCTCCCAGATGCTGATTCCCAGAGCCAAGGGGCGGATCTCAAGGAAGGAGGCTGCCCAGGCCGTGGAGGAGGGGTCGGAGGCGCAGACCAATTGGCGGAGAGTGGAGTCAGGTTGCTGCTGGTAGAGGATTCCCCTCAGGTTCTGAGCTCTGCGCGATCTAGTTGTATGTGTGGAAAGGAGAGCTCAGGGTTGGGAGAAAAGGCCAGCAAAGCTGTTGGCTTTCTGCTTTTAGGAATCGGGACTTTCTCATAGCAAAACAAATGTGAAGATAGTGCTTTAGACACAGATATCCACTAACATTCATCCGTGTCTCTATGGTTTAGAAACCAAAGGCGAAAGAGCCTGGATTGCATTTAATAAGTCACAGGCTCCTAAGCGGTGAAAATCGCTGTATCTTTAAGCGAAGTGGCTTTTATTTTGGGAGACTGATATTCAAAACTCCGTGCCTGGTAACTTTGTTAATCACCTTTCACCAAAGTATTCGGGCTTCTCTTCTTTTATCCTTGCAGCTGCTTGCTTCTCTCCCTATTTTGGGGGCACCACCCACTACCCTCTGTGGAAGAACGAAAGCCAGTTAAATGCATCATATTTAAACAGTGTTTCCAATAGTTTAAAACAAACCTTTGCAAAAGAAACTGAGGAAAGGGGAGCGAGGAGGAAATCTTTTGCTTTTATTCCCCTGCCCTTCTGTTTCTTAAAAGCATTAAACAGAAGCGACAGTGTTCATGATGAAGTGAAACCTTAATACCCAAACCCGAGGCTTCCTAATAAAATCCTAACCATTTATTTTAAGTTGTCTCACCTTTTAGCACCCTGAATTTTGCTTAAGTTGATATCATAGAATGCCATCACAAACTTAATTCAAGTCATATCTTTTCAACCAAGATATTTTGCAGTTCTCCAGGTTTTTATTTCTTGTAATAGCTATCTTTTTTCATTTAAAATTTTGAAAAAAAATTGAAAAAAATTGAAAAGAATAAAAAAGTTATCAAGTCCCCCTTACTCATCCTACCCACCCTACAACATCTATAAAAAGTAGCCTCAGAGTTGGTTACCAGAAGGTAGTTTTCCTGTTCTTTGCAATTCAAAACTATGCTCAAACCTGTAACAATGGCATTTCTGAAAAAAATATCACTTCTCAAATCATTAATTTCAAAGTTTACCAAACTGAAAAAAAAGATCCTCTCTGACCCCCATAGTCCTATTATCCCTTTTTGTTTGCCTTATTTTTTTTTCCCCTTCTGTATTCTCTGCTATTTATAAGTTGTCCTTCTAGGTGATTTAAAAAAAAACAACTTGTTTCTGCCTAATAATTCAATTTCATCTCACCCTCATTTAAAAATTAAATATAAAATAGCTGTTTCTGAAGCTTATGGTGTTAAAAATTAGAACTGTCCAGAGATAACAGCAGCATTCTGTAAACAATTACAAATTACTGTCCTGTGTAGTTTCTAGATTTCTAACCAGCTTTCAGTTGAAGATAGGAAATGAAATTTCTTCCCTCCTCCCTTTGGCTTGGCAGTGTGATTTCTTATATATAGATATAATTGTATGTTTCTAGCTGTTATGCCTATTAAAATGTTTTTCAGAAATTATATTAAAAACATCTTGAGTGCCCTTTTAAAGGATGTAAAGAAAATGTAAACAGCATAATGGATTAAGTCTTGGAAAGAGATAAAGAAAAATTCATAGAAGACTAGCAATGTTTTGCCAAGGTTATAGAAGATTTTGGAACAATCTTTACACAAATAGATGCTTTAAGAGTGAAAATTGGAGACAAAAACACTTAAATTAAAAACATAGATTTTCCCATATCGACTTCATAAGTATCAGATATCAAAACTACAAAAACCATATATATTAAACAACTTTTGATTCATGGAATAAATTCTCCAGGATTTCAGCACTTTCCCCAGGGTCTCATCCCTACTTCTAAGAATGACACCAAGGTAGCCTTTAAAGTTTAACATATTCCTTTCATCTACTGAATGACTAATACTCAGTGGTGCGAATACAAATACCTTTCCATTAAATCCAAGAAGCCCATGAAAGTAATATCTTTCTATATATACTTTGATTGGTCTAGTTAGCATATGTGCAATCCCTTATTTTGTTGATTCCTCTCTCAAATACATACTCTCATAAGTATCTGTGCTTGGGGGAGTAGTCTTCAAATTAAATGTGTGTATAATACAACTGATTTTTTTTTGGACTGCAGATTTACACAATGATATAGAAAAAGCCTCCCACCCAGTTAGTCTCTCATAATATTAAGATGCATCTGTGAGAAGTGGGAGCATTTAAATACAAAATTACTGAGCCTGAAAGAAAGAAAACAAATTCCACTCTGCCGCTTACATTTTTAAAATATAAAAGCATGTGAGTTGAATTTAGACTGGCATTAGCTGAGGATAAACCCCCACCAACCTATTTGTAGGTGGAAAAATGAAGTGGAAAAATAATCAAGCTAGAACACAGGGCATATGCATATATAGAGTATTGTACTTTTTTTAGAATTTGCAATGGCGTTTTAAAAGAACTTATTATAATCTCTCTTCTATTATTTTAATCACATTTTTCTCCTGTGTAGTTATAGTTTTACAAAATGGATGTGAATAGATTATTAATATATTCAAACTTGGTTCAAAATGAAGTCATTTCCCTGACATGTCTGTCTTTAATAAATTACCTCGAGAACATCTTCCTGCCTCCCATCTTCTTTAGGTAGCTCCAATTGTTGCACCAGATCATATGCAATTTTCAGCAATTGTTTATAAATTTTAGGTGTATGTCATGCCCTAAAGCTGATAAAATACCATAATTATATTCAGCTAACAGTAACAAATGGGAAATTGAGGCTTAGAAAAAACTTTTAAAATTCCACTTGTATTCCCCCTCCACCACCCAACCCCACCACCCCTGCCCCATTCTCTAGGTATACCACCTTGATAAAAGGATGAAAAGTGTATTGTTTTGCTTCTAATTTAAAAGATATATAAAGCAATACTTTTAGGTCACAACAAAGTATTTTTCTTTCTATTTGATAGACAGTAGTCATATCAGTATACATAGAAGTACATGTGTGCACACATGCACACACCTTCCATGAAGCGTTAGGTCACAACAAAGTATTTTTCTTTCTATTTGATAGACAGTAGTCATATCAGTATGCATAGAAGTACATGTGTGCACACATGCACACACCTTCCATGAAGCGTTAATCTTTATCTTCTTTTTTCTGGCTGGTTAGTTGCTATTTACCTTTGGTAAGCAAGTACAGATTTTAAGAGAGGAACTATTACTTATAAATAAATTAGAATGACCAAGGGAAATGGAACCTATCAATTTTCACATATAAATCCTTTGTGGAGAAGGGTAAGGAACAGGGAAGGGACAGGCACAATTGGAAGCTCCAGTTGGTTACAAATCCCACACTATCAAACTCAATGGTTAACTGCAACAATGAAATCAAAGTGCTGTTTCTGAACCTACTACTTTTGCACTTACAGTCTAAATGCATTCACAGCTGGCAAATGTGAAAACGCAAGTTCATCACAGAAAAGGGGTAATTTGAACTGAATTAGAAAAGGTACTGTGCAGAAGAAACTGATTATAAACTGAAAAGAGACATTATGTCTCAGTTAATAGAGATTACAGAAAAGTAGGTTCTCTGGTTGTGATTTTAGTAAAAATATAAACAATCTTATCCACTGTGTAAGAAAATAATTTACATAGTTATATTAGCATGATTTACATAGTGTCTATAAAATATTTATTTACAATCTAACATAAAATGTACATAATCTAAGCTCTGTTCAAGAACAAGGCATCATTTAGATTTCTAACACTTAACATAACCCTAAACCATAAGTTAGGATTTCATTTTCTCTACCATTTATAATTGTAATTGTTTGAGAGATTTTAAAATTTTAATATGAAAAATATGGAAATCCAGGGATTAAAAGCATAATCATCTAAACACATTTAGTAAACAAATATACTCAGACTTTTAGGTGTAATTTAATAGAATATTCTGATTTAAAGCAGCTAAGACACTATGCTATGAAACTTCATGATCACTGAAAATAGTTTAGAGTGTTATGTCAAAAGCGGATTTGTCAATGGCCCATAGAGAGCATTGTGACCTAATTAAAAGGATCAACAAACATAGCCAGGAAAAAAAAAATGTTGCACATGTGGGCTTGAGAGAATTTATGAAAACTATTCACTTAAGAGGAAGAAAAAATGTTTTCTAAGAAGTGTTTTGCTTCTCATATACACCTAGCATATTCTGGTAAATCACCAATGTATGTTAAAATGTCACACAAATTATGTAAATTCTCTCTTTCTCTCTCTAAATTTTAGTGATTTTTTTAAAAATTATTTTTCACAATAGATTTTTGTTTTAAGGTCTGCTATCAGAATACAATAACCACCAGGGGGCACTAGAACCTCTGGGTGGCCGTCTAGCCAATCAAATCCATGCAAAGGTAGCTATAAGCCAATTGGATGTACAATCATAGAATCCCAGACTATTAGAGGGGAAATGGAACTTAATGATCATTTAGTTCAATCCTCTCATCAGCAAAGCACTGACCCAAAATAACATTTCTGGGCATCGAACCTCTTAAACCTGTCAATAGCCTCCAGGAGTTTCTTGAAGACAGAAAACAATCCAAGGATTTGCTTCAGTCTTCAGTCATTCAGGTGGTCGTATGCCACAAAACTGAGTCGACACCAGAGACTTAAAGGTGCCTCAGGTGAGAGAATCAGTTCTGGGCAACCCTACTGACAAATATAAATGTACTCTGCAAAGAAGCACAGGAATTAGTATTCCCATGAATTCCTCTAAATCCGCAGATGGACCTCAGAAACACAATAACCCAGTGTTCCTTCTGGCTGGAAGTAAAAT